AATGGCGGCCCGCGACCGTCGATTCGGTCACGGTGAAGTCAGTTTCGAGACAATTGCGTGCTAATTTTCTCGAGCTAAATCGTATTCGTTTGACGTAAGGGAATCGATCGCGAGACAATCGATGCACACTCATTATCATTTCAGATTTTTGTGGAAAATCTTGGAAACTTTTTGCGAAGGATCTTGGAAATTTTTCACGGAGAATCGTGGAGATTTTTTCGCAGAGGATCCTCCATGAACGTTGATAAAAACCGATTTTGTTGGAGGTTCGTCGATAATTAATGAATACGTTTCATCTTTTTGGATCGTCGATACTTTTTTGTCGAACAGAATCGAACTTCATATATTTCTTATAACATAGAACAGTAATAACGGTTAATAAAAAAAGAAATACTAGCGATCTAAGGGATATTTTGAAAGGATGATCACGAAGAAATATATTCTGTGTACGACATTTAATTTTTAAGATTAATCAGATTGCGTTCGATACGTATCTAATATCATAAAAAAAAAATCGTGATAATGTGGCTCGTGTTAGGAGGAACGCATGGACCATTTAAATTATTCAATCGCAGCGTAAATTACAGCACGATGAGAGAAACGTGTCTTACGTGATTCGAAATAAAGAAGACATCCATCTCCATCCGCGTGTCTCGTTTCAGAAGAAACGCGCGGACCATGTTCTAAATTGTAACGCAATGAAAAAAAAACTGTTTAATACCATTAAACCTACAGAAGATATTTATGTGGCTCGTTTTCAGAGGAACACGCGAACCATCCTACAAATTACAACACAAACCAATGAAAAATTACCGAACAAACTGGTCCAGGTTTTGCCACCTGTTCGCAGCTGCGAACATTTTTTTACCGCTGGTAAAATCTGTCAGAACGATTCGGTACAAGGCGATTTACCTTTTACGGAAGAGATTCCCCGAAATCCAACGAGACAATCGTAGTAGAAAAAAAATGAGATAGAGTATCGTCACCGATGTAAGGTCAATCGTTATCGGAAACGGAAGAAGTCCGCGGCGCGAGAGGGGCCGACGTTAATTTACATGAAAGCCATTCGTCACGGGAGAGTGTGGCTTCCTGAGTCGAGAACGGGTCCTTGGACTTATTTCCTGGTTGGGACCGTCGAGTGGGACTTTCGTTCATTCACATCGCGGCCGATCAATGGCAAGGCCTCGGTGAGAACGCGACGTATGCCCAAAGGAAAGGTCGAGCCGGTACTTTCAATGATCTCGTTCCTCCGGTCATAAGAAACTACATCATCGGTTCGACGAATGTCTGCGCGATTTCCCCACCGGCGACCTTGGAACTTGCCGTTTATGCAAACGAATATTTTACGGCGCGCCTCGTATTTCTTCAACGAATAGGTAACATTTGTTCTCGTTTCGAAAAGCTCGGCGAACATCGTCTTCTATTATTTACTATCACGTATTATTGTATTATTATTTAATAGCCGATATATATTAACATTTAATACGTAAAATGTGTTAAGGATTCTCGTGCGCAGGTTCACAAAATTCAAGGGCACACGCGTGGTCGATTTTCCACGTTATTATTCAGCGGACGATATTTGATACGAACTCCGCGCACTCTATAAACATCGACGTTAAATTATTTATAAAATTTAGTGTCAACGTAAGGTTCCTCGTACACCCGTGGCACTCGCAGATACGTAAAACGCATGGCATACGCGCCTATCAACGAAATCTAAAAGGAAATTTATATCCGCAATATCGTTCGATGGTTTCCTGCCCAAAGAATTGCATTCGACCAGCGACGTACAGTAAACAAATAAATTGTTCTGGGAAACGATATTTGCCTTTATATTTTTCAATTATTCCGTGCACGAGGAATTGGGTCAATTGGCGACCAAGTCGGCACCTTCGACGATCTCGTTTGTCCGGACACAAGAAGTTGTATACTGGACGTTCCCACCCTCGAGCCTTGAGATCGTCGATTTATTTAAGAAAACATTCCCATTTTTCTTTTCTTCTTCTTTTTTTTTCATAATTCTCCCGATGGAGCGGGTGAGTCACTCGGAGATCGACTTGGATACTTTCAACGACCTCGTTCGTCCATGAATGCTAGAAACTGTATCCATGAAACTGATACACGATATTGCTACCCTTGCATAATTTGTCGCGCACTAATTAACCCTCGGAGTAGGATTCAATCGGCGGCAATAATTCCCGAAGCATTCTAGACGATTGTTGTGGAGTCTGAATCAAGAATTCGTTTCGTAAAGCTATGCTTCGTGAAATATAAGAATGGTCTACTTTATTTGGAGGACGTTCGCGTTTTTCGATCGCTTTGATCCCGTTACGATCATACTTCTACGTTAACTTTGTAAAATTGAAAATACCAGAGAAAAGAACGTCTGTAAATCTTCAATAAAGATCGTCGCTGCGAGAAAACGTTTGATAATCGCGAACGAAAACGATCGTCCACCCGTCAGCATGTTTAGAAAAGTAAACCCGATTTTGCAAGAAATTCTTAGCCGTAGAATCGGACGGAATTTGCATAGCGGCATGTCGAATTTCAAATCGTGCCTGAATTTCCTTTCGAAAAGTTTCGCAATTCCGACCATAAATTGTCCACGAATCAGCTGTACCGCGGAAAATGCAAATCCGTCAGAAGCGATTCGTCGGGTTACGGTACTTCGTTCGCATGTTTTATGCAAAACCCGGGCTCGTAACATCCGTCAAAGCGTCCCCCAGATTTATCCGAACAAATCGGCGGTTAACATTAGCTGCAAATTGTGCAATACTTTCGAATTTTACAAACGTCCTCCGCGCGGATCCGCTGGCACGCGAAGCACGATCGCGATCGAATCGTTGTTTATATCGGTTTTATGTTAAACATGCTCTCTGGCGCGTCCATGAGTTTCACATAAAAACTCGATAGGAGAACGATCGAACCGTGATTTTGATTCATTCATTTCGCACGGTTGTTCCGCGTACGCCCGAGTCTCGCATTGACATTTTTGTTCCTTTTCCGCTTGTACCGGAAACGGAAAAAAATTGCAAATACACGATATATAGCGTACAGTCGATCGAAACATTCTGCATACATCTGCTACATTTCGATTATTCAACGAAATTCGTCCTGCGCACCTTAACCTCGTACCTTAACTTTTGCATATCGCTGCGACTCTTGCATCATTTATGAAAACGAATGCGTGAAATATTACCTCCGTAGCACTATGATAACGTAACCGACACGTTATGAAGATTTCGAATATGATCTACTAAATATGAATGCTGTTCGTTTGTTTTATATTGGAAAAGATTCAATTTTTCTGTTGTCGATAGTTTAGTAATCACAATTAACGTAGAAGGCACGATAAATATAAATTTTCTTCTTTATACAGGAATATATTAACGAGTGTATATTAATACGAATATTATATCACGAATACTATTGTACCCTAATTTACTAAAATAAATAAATGGAGATTTTCCCATTATGTTGGAATTACATAAAATATAAACTATATAAAGATCCTAACTGCACACGAGTCTAAGCCGTGTCTACTGTCATCTAATCGTTTTCTAATTTATCCAATACTTCCGCAGGTCATCGTCTGGGAAATTGAAACCCGCAGGTGTCGATTAAGTCATCGGCCGTGCATAGGAATCAATCGACGACGTTATCAGTCCACGTGAACGCAGCGAAAGCCTCTTAAATTGTCTATCGAGTCGAGTGCGGATCGCTCTAATTGCTCGAGTACGGTAATTAAATCGATGGACGGGGGGAGGAGGGGGAGGGGGGTTTAAATCGGCCGTTCGAGTGAAACAACCGAATCGATAAGAGAGAATCGTCGAGCCGACAGGTGACTGGGCAGTGATGGACGACGTGGCGATCGACAGGTGAGATAAGCTAACGAAAAATCATTATGAAATCCGTCGATTAGATCGCGCCACGTTGCTCACGATCTCGTACGATCACGAGAAATCCGTTAGGCACGCGTGCCGATCGCACTTAGCGGCCATCCTCGAGCATCGAAACGTCCTCCGAAGATGTTCGAAGCGTTCTGCTTTTCGTTTTTCTTCTGCGAACGCATCCGTGGAACGCAGGGGAACGGAAAATTACGCGAGTGACGAAACCGATAATTGTTCGCGGGAAGAAAGGTATGCCGCGATCATTGTGAAAGAAAACAGGAGCGACCGGCAAAAAGATCGCGGAGACTACCGATCGACCGGCAGGATTTATTGCTAAAGCGCGAGACGACGCCTTGGCGACACGAACATATTTCAATCGGTCGTTCTTGCGACGTTTTTTCTTTTCCCTTTTTTTTTTTTAAATGGCTCTACACGCGATTCTGAGAGTGACGAGCAATCGATTCGACGTACAGGAGACTGCAGAACAGGAATCCTCGACTTCCGATCGATGGATCAATCGATTTGTCCTGTATCTTCGATACTCTGACGCCGAAAACAGTGAGATATTCGATACAGATCAACGGAATAATTTGTTGAATAGATAATTGAATAAACCTACCACGATCGAACGTGGTTTCTCAATCTACGATTACAAAAATCATGAATTGAAATTAATTCTTAAAAGTTAACGTGGACGTAGCGCGACGACGTTATGACTGGACTGCGGATCTTCGTGCGAAATAAAAACTTTCTTTACGAATTGCGAGCTACAGCAAGCAAATGCAAAGTTCCTTGTCTCTTTAATCGGTTTTAGAGATCGAAAGCAGTGCGCTGATAGTCTTAAATTCATTTAACGCGTTCGACGATTACTAAAAGTCCCACAAAGTCAATGCAATTCGATTGATCAAACCGCAGCTGGAAAGCTAAAATTTATCATAATGGATGACATTAGAACTCTTTCGCATCCGAAACATCCTAGTCAAATTCAGTTCGTTCGAATATATTACGAGTAATGAATTTTCAAAATTGGTCAAAAATTAGTGTCATCTATACTTAATCTTTTCCCAATTGTATATATTAAATGAAGCGTATTAAATATAGCATACTTACGACGACGGTGCACGAACTTGCGACGATCCGCTATCTACGCGTCAATCCTCTATACTGATTCAAAACATACGTACCAGCCGCGATTCCCAGTATTTGTAAATAAACGGAATTACGATGACAGTCGTTTATCTTTTGCGACATCGATCGGATCGACAGTAGTGTCGTCGTACGATGGTCGGTTGACATTGTCATTTACAAGAGTCGCCGACGAGCGAGTGCAATTAGCCGTTCGCACCTCGAACTTCCGAATGATCCTCTTCTTTATCTGTTGAGGTTGACGTACGTGATTGTTACAGTATGCACCGATTGTACACAAAAATGAACAATTTAAGAAGAGGAGATACGATTGAACTGGNCAGGAATCCTCGACTTCCGATCGATGGATCAATCGATTTGTCCTGTATCTTCGATACTCTGACGCCGAAAACAGTGAGATATTCGATACAGATCAACGGAATAATTTGTTGAATAGATAATTGAATAAACCTACCACGATCGAACGTGGTTTCTCAATCTACGATTACAAAAATCATGAATTGAAATTAATTCTTAAAAGTTAACGTGGACGTAGCGCGACGACGTTATGACTGGACTGCGGATCTTCGTGCGAAATAAAAACTTTCTTTACGAATTGCGAGCTACAGCAAGCAAATGCAAAGTTCCTTGTCTCTTTAATCGGTTTTAGAGATCGAAAGCAGTGCGCTGATAGTCTTAAATTCATTTAACGCGTTCGACGATTACTAAAAGTCCCACAAAGTCAATGCAATTCGATTGATCAAACCGCAGCTGGAAAGCTAAAATTTATCATAATGGATGACATTAGAACTCTTTCGCATCCGAAACATCCTAGTCAAATTCAGTTCGTTCGAATATATTACGAGTAATGAATTTTCAAAATTGGTCAAAAATTAGTGTCATCTATACTTAATCTTTTCCCAATTGTATATATTAAATGAAGCGTATTAAATATAGCATACTTACGACGACGGTGCACGAACTTGCGACGATCCGCTATCTACGCGTCAATCCTCTATACTGATTCAAAACATACGTACCAGCCGCGATTCCCAGTATTTGTAAATAAACGGAATTACGATGACAGTCGTTTATCTTTTGCGACATCGATCGGATCGACAGTAGTGTCGTCGTACGATGGTCGGTTGACATTGTCATTTACAAGAGTCGCCGACGAGCGAGTGCAATTAGCCGTTCGCACCTCGAACTTCCGAATGATCCTCTTCTTTATCTGTTGAGGTTGACGTACGTGATTGTTACAGTATGCACCGATTGTACACAAAAATGAACAATTTAAGAAGAGGAGATACGATTGAACTGGACTAAATAGACTTAAAACTGGACTAAATGACTCGACCTTTTGTTTTAGAAGATCGAAGAACTAGTCTACTAGGTGACGATTAAGCCTAATTCATAATAATATAATTCTGACGCAACCTCTATCTTGTATAATAAAACAGGCGACACATTATGTTCGAGGCGCTTTCATTTGTTTAAACATACCATTTCTTACCTTACCCCAGTTGGAAAATACGTTTATAAATTTTACTCTTGCAGACTGGAAAGTCGATTTACCGATTTTTGTCCACAAAACAACGCACTGCACGTCTCGTCTTCCACATATCCTAATGACCAGAATTTTTCTTTACCGACTTTTGCCTTCCCCCCTGCCCTCCTGCATTCTCATTTATTCAACCATATCCGATAAATGCATATATCGAAAATAACGTAGGACTTAACTATGTTTTACTCTTTTATCTGTCCAAATCTTTTTCGAATCTACACACTGCCCCTACCCTTACTACATTTCTCAACCCTTCCTATACACTAAATTCTCCCTAATTAACGCTCAGATTGCGCAGAAAACTCGACAATTCGGGAAGATTATTCGAGCCTCGCCAATTGTCAACAACTACAAAAGAGCCGCAAGGCTTAATAATCGTATCTCCTCTACCCAGATTGTCCATTTTCGTGCGCAAACCGAGCGTCAATTACGGAGAATTTACTGTATTTGCGGCGCAGAACTTGGAGGATCGTCGCGAATCGCTGGCGGATCGTCCGAGAATGATCCTGCGCGTTTCCTGTGAGACATGCTCTTCTGCGAACAACGATGTCACAAGTAAATTAGTTTATCTGTTAAATCGTTTGTTCTTGCTAGTTCGCTTAACACGTTCGCCGTGAGATTGCAGATCTTTGTGCGACATAAACATTTTTTTCTGCAGCAATTCCGCGAAACGGGAATCAGATAAGAGTGTTGGTCTTTGTTGAAATTTTAGCCTCGAACAAAAATTAATCTATAGTTTACTTAGTACTAAGATACTAAGATATCGGTTTACATTTTCGTCGGTTCCATCAGCGGGCAACGACGGTGATGTAAACTGTATATAGTAGATACCGCGATACATCATCACCGGTACCATTAGATATACATCGTACCCTGACTGTTTGGGGGTCCCAGCGTCACGTATACAATGTGAAACGCGACAAATAAAACGTCTCTGATTGGTGGACAAGACGAACCCAAAAAGGGTATAAAAGAAGCGTTTCTTTTTGCCGGACTCTTAGTAGAGTTTGGTCGCTCGATCGTTTTCGCCCATATACCTTCTCTCAATAAAGGAATAAAATAAAGTCCTTTTAAGAAAAGAATTAGAATCATATTCATTTCCATTCCATAATCCCAATAGTCTTTTTCATAATTTTGTTAAACCGGACATCAAGTGTTAAATTGTAGCTTTTACAATTAATCGATTGAAAAATAACGGTACAACAACGAACGATCTGTTGCATTGTCTTTTAAGAAATAGTTTCGTTTGCTTCGGTTCGAGGTAAAGCGTTTGGACGAGCCTCATTTGAGCACAACAAATTATATTTAATTGTTCATTGACTGTTCGGCAATCGTTCTATTATAAGACTGCATCTAAATCGATCAGTATCGCAGTCTAATATATTTTTACCGTCGACGATCTTCTATATTACGCATTGCATAAGTCATGTGAGACTCGCGTCGAATTGTTCAGAGAATCGAACGCTAGATCGAAGGATCGAAACAATCTCGTCGATAGATTTCGGATTTGATTATGCACGAATGTTTACCGTGTATTTTTATAAAACGGCGATCTGACGATCGCCGGGGATATGAAAAAAAGAAAAAAAGAACTGTCATCAGTCCATTTATGTAACTGGCCACTCGAAAATAATCGCGCACCGGATGCGATCCTGTCGGCACGTGTCCGGTGACACGTGGATCGTCCACGCTACAGATCGTCGTGAATTACTATTTCGCCAATTACGCGGGATCCTTTTGTTCTCCGTGGTAGCGGCGTCGAAGTAAAAACAAACGATCGCCGGGAAAATAAAGCAAACGATGTAGAGACGAACGCGTAAGAAATCGTTGCTCGATCATCATCGAACGATCGAAACTAATTAAATAATCGGAACGTAAGATTCGAGAACGATTACAACACACCAGTCGAATGTTTCGTGAAGCATTCGTTCGAGGTAACGCTACTTATCCTCGTTTTAGCACTCATTAACATGGGCAAACCGCAGGGGGTAACAGTCGCGATCGAGGTCTACGGGTGTCCAATTTTTATCGACCACTCGTTATACCCCTTTACGATCGTTCCTCTGGATCACGGTTATGTTATACGATCGCGGGGACCTTCGAAGTCAGTTTCTGACCCAAGGAGAGAGAATCTCTCTCTCTCTCTCTCTCTCTCTCATTCTCTCTCTTTCTCGAGCAACAACTTCATCAACTTGTTATTTGTTTAATACAAGCTTCGAATTATTTTCCAAGTAAAAATTCAATGACCGCCGAATAAATTAGCACGCATTATTAGCGAAAGTAGTAAGAAATCACTGGATCGGCCGGAATTGTAACGATATTCCTAAGCCCCTAAAGTTCCGGTTGGAAGCCTTAAGCTCAAAGTCTAGAAGATCCTGTGTCCGTTTAAAAGTGTATTATGCTAAGCAATCCGAAGAAGTCGTCGCCATTTCGAACGGGACAATGTTCCATTAATTTTATTCCGATTCGATATAACAGACGGCCGGATTTGCATTCATTAAGCCGGCAGACTTCTCGTCGCCAGACCGACACGAGGCGTGTTTCGATTTCATCCGCAACCTGACTCACGAAAGCGAGTCCGTCTGTTGACCGTGAATTATAATATACAATCGGCGATACGATCCAGTTCCAGGTTTCTTGTTTCCCATCGCAAACATCGGCTCTTTAAACAAGATATCTGGAAAGAAAAAGTAACGCAATTAACGCGCGCGCGCGATCCGTTAAAATTTGTAATCGCGCGCGGTTACAAAACTGCACGCGATTATTTCCGTCGATTCGTTCAGCATTTTTACGATGCTTGTTCTCAGTTTTTGAACGATTCCAGGTTTTTTTCTTTTCCGCGGCGCGGCTTGAGAAAGCGTTGTCGCTGATTGACAGCGCGTCGAATGGTCGCTGTTTCTACATTACAGATGCGCGCGTTCCATTGAAAAAATAGTTGGCAACGTTATTTACGATTGTCGGCTTGTCGTTTTTATTTTTCAAATTGATGGCGTACGAATTTCAATGAAATTTTATTTCTGATACGCTGCGAAAGTGTTCGCGAGAAGGACAGAATTTTATGCAATTTGAATCTACTTTGAACCTTTTAGCGACTTTTTAAGGAAGACATGCAGGTTTTGCACTTATGATTATCAGTAAATAATCATAAATGTAGTACATTCACGTATATTTAAAGACTTCTCGAGCTACTAACATAGAAAACCGCGTTTATCAACATCTTTTACTTGCACCTCGATTATCCTAACGATCAAACGTCGTTCATAATAAAATTTTATAGCTACTGCACAAAGTAGAACTTTGATTTCTTTACAAAATGTAGAGATATTTACGGCGACGTTCATGGTGATGTTCCAAAATCGCCAAATTAATGCGACACACCTTGACACATATAACCATTGCAATAATTAATGTGCAATATAACAAGCATAACGAATACAGTAAATTCTCCCTAATCGACGCTCAGCTTGGAAACAAAAATGGACAATTTGGGAAGGGGAGGTACGTTTATTCCAACTTTCTGGCTAATTTTTATAGTTGTTGATAATCGGTAGCTGTAAAAACTCGTAAAACTATAAATAATCGTATCTCCCCTTCCCAAATTTTTGTGTACAATCTGTGCGTCAATTAGGG